AGGGGAGGGCCAGGGGGCAGGGGCAGGCAGGCTGGGGAGGGGAGGGCCAGGGGGCAGGGGCAGGCAGGCTGGGGAGGGGAGGGGAGGGCCAGGGGGCAGGGGGCAGGGGCAGGCAGGCTTGGGCTACAGAGAGGTCCATGTTGAGCCAGTGCCCACCAGGACGGTGGTGTCTTGTGGACAGGACCCTGGGGCTGCTGGCTGGGCAGTTACTCTCCAGGGCACTGTGAGGCTGTGAGTCTGGACCAGGCAGGTGCCCTGGACACAAGGTGACCAAGCACTGAGGCATAGATGGCGTCTTTGATGCCCCTGGGAGCATCAGCTCTCTGGGCCCTGCCCCTGGCAGGTCTCTGGACCCGAGCAGACCTGAGCTGGGAAGGGAGAACACTGGGTAGTCTAGGGAGTGTCTCGGCCCAAGCTGGGCAGATGAGGACCGTTGGCTAGATGATCCACAGAACCTCATCAAATTCTGGCCAGGAGGATGTGGGTTTTAAAGACACAGGCATGGTACAGACCCTCCCAGAGCCTTTATCTGGAAATACGCACTATGAGGGTGCAGAAGGGACCTGGGCACGGGAGAGTGAGTGCCAGGCCACGTGTTCTCACTGGCTGACCGTCTCCCTGCGCCTTGCAGCTCTGCGAAGACCTCTTCTCTCGAATCAATGACACGACCAACGACAACATGTCCTACTCAGTGGAGGTGAGTCTGCTGTGCCCAGGGTATGGGGTCTCCTGTTCTACTCAGTGCAGGGGGGTCTGTGTCTGCCATGCCCAGAGCATGGGACCCCCTGTTCTACTCAGTGCAGGGGGGTCTGCATCCGCTGTGCCAGAGCATGGGACCCCCTGTTCTACTCAGTGGAGGGGGATCTGCATCCGCTGTGCCAGAGCATGGGGTCCCCTGTTCTACTCAGTGGAGGGGGGTCTGCATCCGCTGTGCCAGAGCATGGGGTCCCCTGTTCTACTCAGTGGAGGGGGGTCTCTGTCTGCCGTACCAGGGCATGGGACCCCCTGTTCTACTCAGTGGAGGGGGGTCTGTACCCACTGTGCCAGGGCATGGGGTCTCCTGTTCTACTCAGTGCAGGGGGGTCTGCGTCTGCCATGCCCAGGGCATGGGGTCCCCTGTTCTACTCAGTGCAGGGGGGTCTCCGTCTGCCGTACCAGGGCATGGGGTCCCCTGTTCTACTCAGTGCAGGGGGGTCTGCGTCTGCCGTGCCAGGGCATGGAACCCCCTGTTCTACTCAGTGGAGGGGGGTCTGCGTCCGCTGTGCCAGGGCATGGGGTCCCCTGTTCTACTCAGTGGAGGGGGGTCTGCGTCTGTCCAGGGCATGGAACCCCCGTTCTACTCAGTGGAGGGGGGTCTGCGTCTGCTGTGCCAGGGCATGGAACCCCCTGTTCTACTCAGTGGAGGGGGGTCTGCGTCTGCCGTGCCAGGGCATGGGGTCTCCTGTTCTACTCAGTGGAGGGGGGTCTGCGTCTGCTGTGCCAGGGCATGGGGTCCCCTGTTCTACTCAGTGGAGGGGGGTCTGCGTCTGCTGTGCCAGGGCATGGGACCCTCTGTTCTACTCAGTGGAGGGGGGTCTGCGTCTGTCCAGGGCATGGGGTCCCCTGTTCTACTCAGTGGAGGGGGGTCTGTGCCCGCTGTGCCAGGGCATGGGGTCTCCTGTTCTACTCAGTGGAAGGGGGGTCTGCGTCTGTCCAGGGCATGGAACCCCCTGTTCTACTCAGTGGAGGGGGGTCTGCGTCTGCTGTGCCAGGCCATGGGACCCTCTGTTCTACTCAGTGGAGGGGGGTCTGCGCCCGCTGTGCCAGGGCACAGGATTCCAGTTGGGGTTGGTGACCCTTTTCTGGTTTGAAGTGAGTCCTGCCTCTGGTCTAGGCCCTTAGCTTGTCACTGTGGCCAAGCCAGCAAGCCCACCTAAGGCAGGGTGGCCCATGGAGGTGCAGAGACTGCTGGGAGTGGTTCTGAACTTGCAGATGTTGGGGGATGGCTGCCCTGCGGTGCAGGTACCTCGAAGCATGGCCTGGCTACGCCATGGCCGAGGAGGCCCTGGTGTGGCCTCAGGGTGCCGTGGACAAGCCCCAGGGAGGGGAGAAGCCAGGCAGGTGGTGCTGGCTACAGCCACTCGTGCAGAGGCCGCTGGCTGGGACTGTCCAGGGCTGTCCGTGCAGCACTGCCCGGTGGGTGGTCCCCAGGCTCCCGCTCGGGCCCCTGACATGTGACCCTTGACCTCGCAGGTCAGCTATATGGAGATTTATTGTGAGCGTGTCCGTGACCTCCTGAACCCCAAGAATAAGGGGAATCTGCGCGTCCGGGAGCACCCGCTGCTTGGGCCCTACGTGGAGGACCTGTCCAAACTGGCAGTCACCTCCTACAACGACATCCAGGACCTCATGGACTCAGGGAACAAGGCCAGGTGCGTGGGGAGGGTGCTGGCCGGCCTTCCTGCCACACCCGCCTCCCTGGGCCCGGGGGGCCTCAGCTCCAGCCTGGCCATGGCTGCGCGGTTGGTTTCCTGTGGGCTTGTGTGCCCAGGCCCCTGGGCAAGGCCTGGGCTCCTTACCTGCATGTGAGAGGTTTCTCTGGGGAGGGGGCAGTGGGGCCGTGTGACAATGGCCTTGGGCAGTGGCTGTGCTGTTGGCAGAGATTGCTTCCAGTTCTCAAGGCAGCTACAAGTGAGCTGCGATCTCCACAGGGTCCGGGAAGGTGGGGAAAGAGCTGCTGGCTGAGACAGTCCACCTCCTCTGGCCCCCAGCACGAGGGTCCTCCAGCCTGGTTGTCATGGTAACAGCCATCTCCCTCTGTGCCTTGAGACCCCCAGGAGAGTGGCATTGCCCCTTGGAGCCTTGGTGTCTGAGGTGGTGCTGGGCACCGCCTTTCCCTGGCAGTCCTGTTCTGACCAGGCCTCAGCGTGTCGGGGTCCCTGTACCCCTGTTCTGACCAGGCCTCGGCGTGTCGGGGTCCCTGTACCCCTGTTCTGACCAGGCCTCGGCGTGTCGGGGTCCCTGTACCCCTGTTCTGACCAGGCCTCGGCGTGTCGGGGTCTCTGTACCCCTGTTCTGACCAGGCCTCGGCGTGTCAGGTCCCTGTACCCCCTGTTCTGATGAGGTCTCGGGGTGTCAGTTCCCTGTACCCGTGTTCTGACGAGGTCTCGGGGTGTCAGGCCCCTGTACCCGTGTTCTGGAGGTGAGCTGGGCCTGGCATCCTCTGAGCCCTCATGGTCTAGGATGTCCATCCCCCAGGAGGGCCATACTGCTGACCCACATCACCTCTGTGGCTTCCAGAGCTGTGGTGGGCTACTTAGCCTCTCCCAGGGCTGGTCAAGGCTGTGATGAGGATGGCTGGAAAACCCTTGGAGGAGGACTGGATATCCCAGAGAGGAGCACTAGATGACCCATGGAGGAGGACTAGATGACCCACGGAGGACTAGATGACCCATGGAGGGCAGATGACCCATGGAGGAGGGCTAGGTGACCCATGGAGGATTAGATAACTTAGATAACCCAGGGAGGACTAGATAACCCAGGGAGGAGGGCTAGGTGACCCAAGGAGGGCTAGACCCATGGAGGACTAGATAATCCATGGAGGATTATATAAACCATGGAGGAGGACTAGATGACCCATGGAGGATGAGGGTTAGATGACCCATGGGGGATTAGATGACCCATGGAGAAGGGCTAGAAGACCCATGGAGGTGGACTAGATAGACAACTCTCATGTGGGCTCCTGTTCCCAGGACTGTGGCAGCCACAAACATGAATGAAACCAGTAGCCGTTCCCACGCCGTGTTCAACATCATCTTCACCCAGAAGCGCCATGATGCAGAGACTGACATTACCACGGAGAAAGTGAGCGTGACAGGAGGTCTTGGTCGGCCGTGCTGCCTGGAGTGGCGGCTGAGGCTGGGCTGGGTGGTTAGGATGGCCGTGGCAGGGTGAGAAAATCTAACCAGCTTAGTTGGTGACCTGTAAGTCCTGTCTTCCCCAGCACTAGGTACTGGCCAGTCCAGCCCTGGGCATGAGAGGTGCACCAGGTCTGGAATGCTGCTTCCCCTGCGTGTGGGACCGCTGTGTGTGTAGGAACTCAGAGGTGAGGGGCTGTGGCCTGGGGTCAGCCAGCCCTGTCTCTTTGAGCTTGACAATTCTGACAGGCACTGCAGGGCTGGGAAAGGGAGGAGACAGCCATGCCTGTCAAGGGGCAGCAAAGATGCGCGGCGGTCCAGGAAGCATCAGACAGGGTGGTGCTCACGGCTGCTGGTCCAAGCTGGTGGGAGAGCAGGGCCCCCCCTTCCCTGGGCAGTGGGGCTGCCCGGGGGGCCGGGCCCCTGGGAGGCCCCAGCAGCCTTCGGCACAAGGAGCCCATGTGTGGGGTGGGCCTTGCCCTATCCTGAGCAGCACCCGTCCTGCTGCCGTCCCCTCCCCACCACCGCGCCTGCTTTCCCGCTGCCCCTGCCGGGGTCTGCGGGGTGGATGAGCGCACATCATTGCTGACCTCGCCAAGTAGTGGAGAGGCCGAGGAAGGCTGGCCAGCGGGCGCCAGGGCGGGACAGGATCAGGACTGGGGCTGGAGACATCTGGTGGGCTCAGGAGGGCTACCTCCCTGGGGGCCTTAGCCTGCTGGCCACACAGACAGTTGAGTAGTGCCTTCCCAGGGCTGGCTTTCCATGCCTGGTGATGGAGGCAGTGCCCCTGCGCCTGCTGTGGTGTGGGGAGGCTGTGAGGAGTGCCCGGCGCGGGGCTGCGTCGGCCGGGTGGCTTGGCACCTGCTTGGAACAGAGCTTCCGAGGGCTGTGACAGGCAGGGAAGGAGACTGGACCCCAGCTCATCGCAGGGCTCTGGGGGGTGAGACGCCCCGCCTGCATGGCGGGAGCTGCTCCTGCATTTGATGCATCTGCTGCTCCAGGTGAGCAAGATCAGCCTCGTGGATCTGGCGGGGAGCGAGCGAGCCGACTCCACCGGTGCCAAGGGCACACGTCTCAAGGTAGGGCCGGGCCCCATGTCCAGGGCGCAGCCCACAGGGCCCAGGGCCAGGCCCGGCAAGCTATGGGGTTGTTGGGTGGGGATAGAGGGAGCTTGGAGCACCCCCAGGGCCATCCTGAGCCGGGGGCGGGGCCTAGGCCAGAGCCTTCAGCCTGAGGTGGCTGCTGGAACATAGGCTCAGGTAGACAAGGCCAGGAGGCCCCGTCTGGAGAGCAGCTCCTTGCCACGGTCCCCGCCCGCACCAGAGCGGCACTCGGGCTGAGACAGCAGGGCTGACCTGCCGCCTGAGTCCCAAGGGGCAGCCTCCTGTGGACACCGTCCTTTGTGCAGGAGGCAATGTTTTATTGTCCTGAGCCCTGCATGTTGTCTGCCACAATCTGAGGAGGACTGAGGGGCTCTGGAAGCAGTACCAGGCAGGGATGCGTGAGGTGTAGCCAGGCTGCCGAGGAGACTGAGGAGAAACTGAGGCACTGCCTCCCTGGCCCAGTCGGGCCTCTAACAGGCCTGCCCAGCACCTCTTACTAGAGCAGCCCCCGGGGGACAGCAGTCAGGTGCCCCACGGGTCAGGCCCTAGGGGAGCATGCTGGACTGTCTCTACTGACTTCCTGATCATCTTCTGCACACCTAGGAAGGGGCCAACATCAACAAGTCCTTGACTACACTGGGGAAGGTCATCTCTGCCCTGGCTGAAATGGTGAGCTGACTCCAGGCAGCTGGAGCTGGGCTGGCGGGCTGGACGGTGAGGGCCCTTGTGGGGCCTCCCTGGGGACTGGAGGGAGCTCATCACCCCTGTTCACAGGGGCCAGCTCTGGTGAGGTAGCTGGGACCCCATGGGAAGCCCAGGGGAGGTGGTGCCATGGGGCTGGAGCCTCGGTTTCCACACCTGTGAGGTGGGGTGCACCTCCCTCCTCACAGGGCCACTCCTAGGTCACCCCATGCCATGGCACTGGGCAGCCCTGCCTTGTGCTGGCCTGATCTGGTTCCCTCCGGAAGAAGCCCACAGTCTTAGGGGAGGAGCCCCAGGTTTGGCAGGGCCTGCAGGGTAGGAGTTCCTGCCCTTCCACAGGCCCCCTGGGCCCTGAAGACCCCACCCTATTCTGAAATAGTTGGTTGTTGGGTGACAGAGGCCAGAGAGGTCACATTCTTACTTGGCACAGCCAGTTCAATGTGGCCAGCCATGGTGTGGGCAGTGGGCTGAGGTCCCTGGACGGTGCTCTGGCCTCAGCCTGTTTTGGCCCTCTCCTGCCAGTGGTCCTCTCCTTACCCCAGCCCCTTGGAGTCCAGCCTCTCTTCTTGTTCTCAGACCCCCTTTGTCTTTTCTTTTCCAGGATTCTGGGCCCAATAAGGTAAGCTGCTTTCCTTCCTGTGAAGGGGGTGGAGCTGGATGTGGGCCCTCCGCCAGCTCCCCAGTGTGTCTCACCCCTTCATACAGTCCCTCGTGTACTCGCCCACCACCCCTGCTACGCCCCAAGCTAGCAGGGGGCCCTCGTGGTGAACACAGCTCCTCTGACTCCACCTGCAGATGGGAGGCAGGCAGTAAGCAAGGGCAAGGCAGAGACGTGAACGTAAACCTCAGGAGGGCGAAAACAAGTTTTGAGTGTGGTACACAGCAAGACGGTTGTTAGTCGGGTTGTTAGTGGGTTGTTAGTCACAAAGCTCCTGAAGGGTTTAAAGAAGTGGCCTGTGACAGAGCCCTGGGGTGAGGAGGGGCAGGGGAGGCCTATGTGTGGAGTTAGGAGAGGCGGGTGGGAAAGGCTGGGGACTGTGGGGGACACAGAGGGATCGGAGAGGACAGGTGAGAAAGCATGTGGGGTTGTGGGAGGAGACACGCAGGGACTGTGGGAGGGAGCCAGGAGGGACTGGGAGAGGAAAGTGAGGAAAATGAGGGACTGGGAGAGGAAAGTGAGGAAAAGGAGGGACTGGGAGGAAATGGGAGGAACTGTGGGAAGGATACAGGAGGAAAGGGACTGAAACAAAGAGAAATGTGAGGAGCCATGGGAGGGAATCATGAGGAACTGTGGGAAGGAAAAGAGGAATTGTGGGAGGGAGATGTGAGGAAATGTGGGAGACAAACATGAGGAACTGTGAAGGACCCACGTGTGTGAGGACCAACTACTTGAGGGACAGCATGAGGAAGTTTGAGGGTGAGGAAAGCGGCCGGGAGGCCTGTGTGAGTGAGGAGCCTGCAGGGGTGTTCTGTGTGTGGGGGCTGTTGGAGGACTGTCGGTCCATGAAGTGGATTGCACGAGGAACGGTGGACACACCAGATACAGTTTAAATCGTGTGGGAGATGGGTGGAAATGGTGAGAGGATTGTCTGCAACTGGGTGTAGACCCAGGAATGGTGCTGGGAGCAGTGGAGGGGCTGTGAGGAGCAGGAAACAGTGTGAGGAACCAAAGAGCCAGGAAAATCAAGGGGAACTGTGCGCAGCACTGAGGACCAGGCAGGACTGTGAGGAACTGAGCTGTATGGGGAGCCAAATGAGTAACGGGAGCTATGTGGATCCACGTGAGCGGAACCGCAAGAGGGACCTGTGTCCTGGGGGTCTGTGTGGGAAATGGATGGACTACTGCCACCGAGGAAGGAAACAAACCGTGCCCTTACTAGGAAATGTTACAGAATTGTGCAGGGGTGTGCCCAGGTCTGAAGAATTGTGTGGAGAATTGTGAGGGGCCACGTGGAATTGTATCGAGCACTGTGTGAGAACTCCATGTGAGTGTGTGTGTGTGTGTGTGAGAGAGAGAGAGAGTTAGAGTACAGAGAAGGTTTTGCAGGGAACTCAGAAGTGAGTGTGTGCGCATGTGCACACGCGCACACGTGTGTGACTTAGGGTACAGAGAGCGTTGTGAAGGGAATGCGGAGACGTCGAGACCCAGAGGAGGTGTTGTGTGGGCACCTGGAATGCACAAGGCGCTGTGGGGTGGAACCGGAACCATGTGGAGCCTGTGCAGAGCTAACTGGGCAGCGGGGAGAATGTATTTCCATCTGCAGGAGGATCTGGAAAGGGAGCTGTGTGGTGAATCGTTCAGGAGCTGGAAGTGTGCGGTGCACTATACGAGTACAGGAAGTGGCAAGGGCGAGACACTGAAGACTGGGCATCCAGGAAAGAATTGTGTGAGGGACTGTGCGAGAAGCCATGTGAGGAACTGCGGGGGGCAGTGCGGGGGGCAGTGCGGGGGGCACTGGGAATGCAGTGTGGGGTGCAGTGTGAGGCGCAGTGTGGGGTGCAGTGCAGGGTGCAGTGTTGGCAGTGCAGGGTGCAGTGGGGATGCAGTGTGGGGTGCAGTGTGGGGTGCAGTGGGAATGCAGTGTGGGGTGCAGTGGGAATGCAGTGTGGGGTGCAGTGTGGGGTGCAGTGTGGGGTGCAGTGTGGGGTGCAGTGTTGGCAGTGCAGGGTGCAGTGTTGGCAGTGTGGGGTGCAGTGGGAATGCAGTGTGGGGTGCAGTGGGGGCACAGTGCGGGGTGTAGTGGGGTGCAGTGCGGGGTGCTGCGTTGGACACTGTGGGGTACAGTGCAGGGTACAGTGGGGGCGCAGTGCAGGGTGCAGCGTTGGATGCTGTGTGGGGTACAGTGGGGTGCAGTACAGGTGCAGTGTTGGATGCTGTGTGGGGTACAGTGGGGTACAGTGCGGGTACAGTGGGGGTACAGTGTGGGGTGGAGTGTGGGGTACAGTGTTGGATGCTGTGTGGGGTACAGTGGGGTGCAGTACAGGTGCAGTGTTGGATGCTGTGTGGGGTACAGTGGGGTGCAGTGCAGGTGCAGCGCAGGGTGCAGTACAGGTGCAGTGTTGGATGCTGTGTGGGGTACAGTGGGGTACAGTGCGGGGTGGAGTGCGGGGTGCAGTGATGGACACTGTGTGGGGTACAGTGGGGGTGCAGTGCGGGGTACAGTGTTGGATGCTGTGTGGGGTACAGTGGGGTGCAGTACAGGTGCAGTGTTGGATGCTGTGTGGGGTGCAGTGTGGGGTGGAGTGCGGGGTGCAGTGATGGATGCTGTGTGGGGTACAGTGGGGGTGCAGTGCGGGGTACAGTGCGGGGTGCAGTGATGGACACTGTGGGGTACAGTGGGGGCACAGTGCGGGGTGCAGCATTGGACACTGTGGGGTACAGTGGGGTGCAGTGCAGGATGCAGTGATGGATGTTGTGTGGGGTACAGTGGGGTGCAGTGCGGGTGCAGTGGGAGTTACTTGAGACCTGGGCTCCAGTCTGTGAGGTAGTGTGGGAGGACCATGAGGTGGTCAGCTGTGTGAGAACTGACAGAAGCCTTTTAGGGACCAGCTCCCCTCCTGTGGCCAGAAGGGCTGCGAGGCCCTCAGTCTGAGGCCAGAGCCGCTGACTGGCCTGGAGTCAGCCGTGGACTCTTGTGTGAGGTACAGGTCAGGGCAAGGACAGCCTGTTGGCAGGGAAGAGTGGCGTGGCGTGGACCTGGGCTTGAGCCGGTGGACCCCACGGGAGGCGAAGAGTGGGTGGTTCTGGGAGGTGATGGGAGCATCAGACGGGGTGCCGGAGCACAGGGAGAGGGGAAGCGGGCAGTGAAGTCGTGGGGGCTTCAGGCTCCTTGCGGCGGTGGCTGAGCCACAGCAGGGGCTTCCTGTGCAAACAAGGCAGGCTGTGTGGTGGGCCCGGAGCCGCAGGAATACACACTCCGCATGCCAGTGAGCCAGCCGCTTTCCTACCTACCCAGTTTCCAAAAGGAGAGCCGAGTGCACAGCATGGAAGGGCATTCCTGACTGTGGGGCTCGGGGTGTTCAGAACTCACATCACCTGTGAGCAGGGGAGCCTCTGCTGGGGATTGAAGCGCAGCAGCGGAGGTGTATGTATCCATGGAAACGGCGCTGCTGTCTGCATCCCCAGGGTGTGGCCCCGGGCGGGCCTCAGGTGCTGGTCCTGGAGGCTCTGCAGATACTTCAGCAAACACATGCACCAACCAGTAGATGCTGGAAAGTAACTCCAGCCACCATTGACAGAATCATGAAAGTATCCATAAGAAGCTGTCCCTAAAGAGGCTGAGATCTGAGAATCACAGTTCAAAGCCAGCACAGGCAGGGGGGAAAAAAGCTGTCCCTAGCAGCCATACACAGGGACGAGTTCCTATTTTGAGGGACTGCTGTTTGTCTTAACAGAGGTATAAAAAGCCATTAGGAGCAAGAGTATAGAGAGCCTCCCCTTCCCTGCTCCCCCCCACCCCGTTCCCCCTGGAGGTCGGACAGGACAGATGGTTACAGAGGGCCCAGGGATTGGCTTCGGAAGGGAGGAAAGGGGAGGGCCGGTTCTGTGTGGAAGGGGAGAGGTGTGCTGGGTGACCCTCCTTGGTTGTGAGGCCCCTTCCTTTTGGCCAGAAGGTGTTGCTTTGGAGGGCAGAGGGGAGGCACCTGGCTGTTGAAGTCTGCCCTCCACTTGGGGCCAGCCGGGTGACCCAGACCTAGCAGGGTGGGCGAGGACAGAGCTGCCTCAGGCGGGAATGGCCCAAGAGCGTGGCCTGGGCCAGGGCCTCTGGTTGGGAGGCTCACTGCAAGCCCTGAGCCTGGCCTCCCTGACGCGGTGCGGGTTAACCCTGACTGTCCTCACAGAACAAGAAAAAGAAGAAGACTGATTTCATCCCGTACCGAGACTCTGTGCTGACCTGGCTCCTCCGGGAGAACCTGGGTGAGGACTTGGGGGCCCCAAGGGGGGCTCTGCCCCGCTTCCTGGGCACAGCGGGGGGGTGTCGGGGTCCCGAGGGGGGCTCTGCCCCGCTTCCTGGGCACAGCGGGGGGGGTAACCGGGAGGGCCAGCCCCTCCCAGTGCGGCCCTTCTGGAAGGTCCTGTCCCGGGAGCCAGGGTGGCTTTGGGGGCTGGCAGATGTGTGCCCCGGTGGGCGAGGCAGGTGGTGACGCCCAGACCAAGCACCTGCCCTTCCAGGTCTCGCTTTCTCTATCTGTAACGTTAATCTAGGGCTTAGTGAGTTGGGGAGCTCTGCTTGTCTGCTGACTTTTGAGGGACAGGGCTCTGTGAACCCCACTCCTCTCTGCCTGAGTTCCAAGCCCTGAGGGATACGCAGGATGATGGCGGCAGGCCCGGGCCGGCGCAGACCCCACCCTAACGGACTGGCCCAGGCTTCTCCCCGCTGTGTCCACAGCCAGCCTGGGGAGCGGTGCACCGGCGGGAAGGAAGCTGGGGTCTGGGTGTTGGCCGCAGTAGCTGTACCCCACACCCAGCCAGGCCCGTCTCTGGCTCCGGCAGCGTGGTGTGCAGGGCAGGTCTGCCAGGTGGGGCTAGTAGAGGGGGCTCCAGGGGACAGTGGGAGGCTGAGAGAGGACGGAGGGTCACAGAATCCACGTCCCTGTGTGAGGGGCAGGAGCTGGGCAGCAGGCCTCTCCCACGGGGTGGGGCAGGGGAGACCCTCCTGTAATCCCTCCTGGGGTGTGGCAAGACTTTGTTCTTCCCGCTGTGACCTCTGTCTCGGGAACTTACCAGGGAGTCACACCGGGGCATGGCATGGAGGTGCAGGCCCCTGAGCAGGCAGGACCCCCTGTCCACTCGGGGCGGGGGTAAGAAGCAGTCCTGAGGGCTGGGGTGGGGTCAGTGCTGACCCTGGCACAACCACCGAGGCCACCAGCCGCGTCCCCTGCATCCTGAGGGAAGGGACGGTGTCCTCCCACAGTTATTACTGCTCTGGACCGTGAACCTGGTGTGAAATACCGAGAAAAGCACTTCAGCAGACACGGGCCAGAGGGTGTGGAGAAGAATTGAGCATAAGCTGTTTTGTTTCGGAGGAAACACCATGGAACCCTCCACAACTGGCCCCGTGTGTGGGATGACGTGTGTAGGGTGGTGGGGGGCTAACGGCCCCGTGTGTGGGGTGATGGGGGGCTTACGGCCCTGTGTGTGGGGTGGCGGGGGGCTAACGGCCCCGTGTGTGGGGTGATGGGGGGCTTACGGCCCCGTGTGTGGGGTGATGGGGGGCTTACGGCCCTGTGTGTGGGGTGATGGGGGGCTTACGGCCCTGTGTGTGGGGTGGCGGGGGGCTAACGGCCCCGTGTGTGGGGTGGTGGGGGCTAACTGCCCCGTGTGTGGGGTGATGGGGGGCTTACAGCCCTGTGTGTGGGGTGGCGGGGGGCTAACGGCCCTGTGTGTGGGGTGTCAGGAGGGCTAAACCCGTGTGTGGGGTGGTGGGGGGCTAACGGCCCCGTGTGTGGGGTCACGGGGGCTAACGGCCCCGTGTGTGGGGTGACGGGGGCTAACGGCCCCGTGTGTGGGGTGACGGGGGGCTAACGGCCCCGTGTGTGGGGTCACGGGGGGCTAACGGCCCCGTGTGTGGGGTCACGGGGGCTAACGGCCCTGTGTGTGGGGTGACGGGGGGCTAACGGCCCCGTGTGTGGGGTGACGGGGGGCTAATGGCCCCGTATGTGGGGTCATGGGGGGCTAACGGCCCCGTGTGTGGGGTGATGGGGGGCTAACGGCCCTGTGTGTGGGGTGATGGGGGGCTAACGGCCCCGTGTGTGGGGTGATGGGGGGCTAATGGCCCCGTATGTGGGGTCATGGGGGGCTAACGGCCCTGTGTGTGGGGTGACGTGGGGCTAAACCCATGTGTGGGGTGGCGAGGGGCTAACAGCCCCATGTGTCGGGTGATGGCGGGCTAAACCCGTGTGTGGGGTCACGGGGGGCTAAACCTGTGTGTGGGGTGATGTGGGGCTAACGGCCCCGTGTGGGGTCACGGGGGGCTAACGGCCTTGTGTGTGGACAGCCAGCCCTGGCAGTCACAGGGTGCACAGGAGAGGCAGTGACTCAGTTTCCCCTTTTGCCTCAGTCTCCTCATCCGACAGTGCCCATGGGAGGGAGGGAGCTGCGAGTCCCCAGCTTTAGGCTGAGCCTCTGGGTTACCTGGGTCGTCTCCCTGCAGGTGGCAACTCCAGGACTGCTATGGTGGCAGCCCTGAGCCCTGCGGACATCAACTACGACGAGACCCTCAGCACGCTGAGGTGAGGCCTGGGGAGGGGGCGGGGCCACGGGGGGCGTGGGGGAGGGGCCACGGGGTAGTGGGGAGACCATGGGGACGGGGGTGGGGGTGGGGTGGGGAGCTCTTCTGAGGGCTCCCTGGGCCTGCCTGGACTTCACGAGTCCTGACCTGATCTCTCCAGTGCTGCTCTGTGAGAACCCGGCTTGGCCGGCGCGTCAGGGACCGGTGGGCACCCTGGAGGCAGCCTGGCTCCTCTCTGCAGGGCTGACCTCTGGCTACCATTTTGGGTGCAGTGGGAAACGGGGCTAGTGCCCGTGTATGCATGTGTTGACACCTGGTGTGAGCCGTGGCCTGTGTGTGGCTGGCCTCTGCCCGGAGCCAGGCAGACACGAAGGGCCCCTGTGCGGCAGGAGGCCCTCTCCCTTCTGCCCCTCAGAGGTGAGGCCATCCTCAGGGGCCTGCGGTGGAGTGACCTCACCCTAGGTTGGGCACCCCTGAGCCCGTGGGCGGGGATCTGCCTCCCCAGCCCTGCGCCCACCTCCCCTGCCCAGGTATGCGGACCGGGCCAAGCAGATCCGCTGCAACGCCGTCATCAACGAGGACCCCAACAACAAGCTGATTCGGGAGCTCAAGGACGAGGTGACGCGGCTGCGGGACCTGCTCTACGCCCAGGGCCTGGGTGACATCACCGACAGTGAGTGTCTGCGCGGGCTGCCCTGGGCAGGGCCGGGCCTCCAGCTCCGGGCCTCCTGGGCCACTGCGTCCTGACTCCCAGGGCCCCCATGGCCGGCTGTGGCCAGAGCAGGGTGGGTGGGTGCGTGGAGCCCCGTGACTCCCCACCCCTGCTGAGCTCCCGGGCAGGGCATGTCTGGGCAGGGCGTGGGGCCAGGCTGGTGCTCCGGCCCTGGCTTGGGTGGAACTGCACAGTTTGGGTGTGGAGCTGGTCCTGGTGGGCCAGGCACAGTTTCCTGGAAGCCGCGGGGTGGCCGTGGCTGCTGGACCACGGGGGTGCGGGCTCTCTCTGCCACCTGCCTGCAGCACCTGCGCTGCACCATGGGCGTGCAAACCCCTGGAGATGAACTTGCTCTGTTTCTCTGTCTCTCCTCCCCCTGCCTGCTCGCCCTATAGCCAACACTGTGCCTGGAGGACCCAAATGTGTGTATTCCCCACGCCACTGCGTCTCTGCTTCCCGCCTGGTCCCGGGGCACAGGACGGCACGGACTGGGAGGGGAGGGCCACCATGACACCACCTTCCTTGGCTCCCCATCTCGGGGCTATAAAGAGCAGCCCCCCATTCGCAGGGGCCTCCCCCCTCGATAGGAGATCGTGTTTGCCTTCGAGCCAAATTCCTGGCTCTTCCCGAGACTGAGGCAGCAGGGAGGTGGAGTATAGGCAAAATCTTCTCAGGCCCGAAGTGGCCAAAGTCAAACCCTGATCCCTGAGTTCCCACAGCCTGGGAAGGTCAAATGTCAGCACTCGAGGGTCGGAGGGCCGGAAGGCAATTCCACCCCAGTTCAGGTCTGCCTCCACCGGCCAGTGCTGTGGCTGCCCCCACGGGGCCTTTGTCTGGAAAGCAGCCGGTCCGTGCTCATGGTCAGCCATGCCCAGCCCTGTCCTGCTTTGCCTCTGGCCTTCGACCACAGGCTCTGCTACCTCCTGTCACCCTGCCCCGTGCCTGGTGCTGCCGTGCTGGCCACCGCGCTGCTGTGTGTGTGCTTCTGCTGGGGGGGGGCTGGGCACCTCCCCTCCAGGTGTCGCAGCCCAACTCCTGGGCTGGGGTGGCCGAAGTAGGGGCTCCCTAGGGGCCTCTGCCCACCTCCTCCTCTAGAGGGCCTCGGGGCTGTGTCTGGATTTAGCCAGACGGTTAGCACTCCGAGTCTGATGCCCAGAGGGGCACAGAGGCCCAGCTGAGGGTGGGCAGGCCGCCTGCAAGGGTGAAGCGCGGTGCTGGGTGTCCCAGTGGATGGCAGTGCCTGGGGAAGCCAAGGCCACGGGCTGCCTCTGGCCCTCAGGTTCAGGGGGGACGGCCGAGAGCACGAGCCTGGGAAAGGGCGTTGGGAGACGGGGCCGTGGGATGGTGGGGCGGGGTGGGGCTTGATGGGGTCCAGAGGGCCTGAGTGCTGCTGTCCGGAGAACGGGCCTTTGGCCGGGCAGGGAGTAGGCCTGGCCCTGGCACCGTGGCCCTCACCATGGCAGGAGACAGGAGAAAAAGAGGCCTTGCATGTGCTGTCCCCGCCTGGCTGGCTGCCGGCCCCTTCCTTGGTGGGCTCTGCTCCCTTCCTTCCCCTGGCCCCGCTGTGGCTTTCTCCCCGCTGCATCTCTCTTCCCCCTCTGTCTGTCCACCTGGCCTTCCCTTCCTGCCTCAGACGTGTCCGACCCTGGGAGCCGTAGCTAACGGGGGCAGGGCCGAGCGGTGTCAAGCCCCCGACGCTCTCTCCACAGTGACCAACGCTCTGGTGGGCATGAGCCCCTCCTCCTCGCTCTCCGCCCTGTCCAGCCGCGCAGCCTCTGTGTCCAGCCTCCACGAGCGCATCTTGTTTGCTCCAGGCAGCGAGGAAGCTATTGAAAGGCTGAAGGTGAGGGGGGCACGCGTCCCAGAGGGGCCAGGCTCTGGCACACAGTGAGGCTCGAGGAGCTGGGCCGGCCCGGTCCTGGGCGCAGCCCCGCGGGGAGGGCAGCTGTGGCGGTGTGGGGCGTGGGGCGGCCAGGTGCGCGTGACCCATGGCGCAGAGGCCTGGCGGGAGTTCCTGTGAGGGGCTCGGCCTGGAGGGAGAGCCGCTCACTCCCGAGGAGAGCCGGGCCGAGGCCTCTCCAGGAGTCCCGCAGGGAGCAGTGGGCGTGCAGTGGCCAGCGGGCGGGAGTCCCGTCCTGCCCTCCAGCTGCCCTTCTTGGCAGCTCTCAGCTGGCATCACACAGAGCTGTGCTTACTGAGAAGGGTGGCAGGGGGCTGAGGGCCCTGAGCCCTCCCTGCTGTCCCGTGAGACCCCCGCAGCCCCCCAAGTCCCTCCCTGCTGTCCCAGGAGACCCCCGCAGCCCCCCGAGTCCCTCCCTGCTGTCCCGTGAGACCCCCGCAGCCCCCCGAGTCCCTCCCTGCTGTCCCGTGAGACCCCCGCAGCCCCCCGAGTCCCTCCCTGCTGTCCCAGGAGACCCCCGCAGCCCCCCGAGTCCCTCCCTGCTGTCCCGTGAGACCCCTGCAGCCCCCCACGTCCCTCCCTGCTCTCTGTGTGATCTCTGTCCCCTCCCTGCTGTCCCGTGAGCCCCCCAAGTCCCTCCCTGCTGTCTGTGTGACCCCTGTCCCCTCCCTGCTGTCTGTGTGACCCCTGTCCCCTCCCTGCTGTCTGTGTGACCCCTGTCCCCTCCCTGCTGTCCTGTGTGACCCCTGTCCCCTCCCTGCTGTCTGTGTGACCCCTGTCCCCTCCCTGCTGTCCTGTGTGACCCCTGTCCCCTCCCTGCTGTCCTGTGTGACCCCTGTCCCCACCCGCTCCCCAGCGCTGGCTTGGGCTGGCTCTGGCCCCTCTCTCCCCCGAGTTCCCTCAGAGCAACCGTGGTGCCGCCATGCAGGGTGTGTGGTGGAGTCCAGAGTCTGGGGCTGAGGGACATGGTCACAGGCCTGGCCCGAGGCCGGTGTGGGGGGGGCCATGGTCACACGGGCAGAGGGTCCTTGGGAGTGTGGGAGGCCTGCTCGGGTTCATGTGTGTGAAGAAGCAGACAGAGACAGAGCCCTTGCGTCTCTGCGGGAGGGACGGCCCTCGCCGCTGGCTCGGTTTGCCGTGATGTCTGCGGGGCTGTGAGCTTCTCCGGGCAGGGGCTCGAGCCTCAGTGCCCTGTAGCCCCTTTCCCGGCCCAGACCTCACCCGCTCTGTCCTGCTCCTCGCACAGGAGACAGAAAAGATCATTGCCGAGCTCAACGAGACCTGGGAGGAGAAGCTGCGGCGGACGGAAGCCATTCGGATGGAGAGGTGAGCGGCGGGGACGCCGAGCTCAGGGTGGGGCAGGCACAGCGAGAGGCCCACGGTCCAGCCGGACCTGCCCGAACCCCGACCTGCACACCCTCGAGCGGTCACGCCCCGGTCACGGGACAGACCCGTTCTTCCCGACCCGTGGCCTCTGCCTTGCGTGGCCGTGGCCACTGGCCATAGAGGCCTGGTGATGCACAAAGGCTGGGGCCAGCCGTGGACGCCGTCCCTCCCGGAGCAGACCGGAGAGCGTGGCGCCGCCTCTGGCTCCTGCCGCGCTGCCCGGCACTGAGGCCTGGGCTCCGGGCCGCGCTGACCCCGGCTCTGACCCCCAGGGAAGCGCTGCTGGCGGAGATGGGCGTGGCCATGCGGGAGGACGGCGGCACCCTGGGTGTGTTCTCCCCCAAAAAGGTAGGAGCTGGGCCCAGGCCCCTGGCAGCCCCTCCTGTGGGTGGGTGCCCCCCCTGGGGTGGGGGGGGCATGGGCTTCTGGAAGGAGTGGGGGGGGGAGCATGGGCTTCTGGAAGGAGTGGGAGAGGGCTGGGGGCCGGCCCGGCACCGGGCAGCCCCTTTCTACCTCCCAGCCAGACTCGTGTGGCGGGAGGCTTGGCCCGTCCTCCCCTGAGCCGTTGTGGAGGCGCGGGCCCCTCTCACGGTTCGCAGGGGCAGAGGCTGGTCCAGCCTTGTGGGATGGCCGGGACACCCGTGCCGCAGGTACACTGAGAGCAGGAGTGGCCTGAGCCGGGTTCCCTGCGGGAAGCTGAGGAAACAGCACCTAGGCCTGCTTCCATCCCGCAGCCCCTTGGCCTGGGAAGGGGCAGAGTCCTGGGGGGAGCAGAGACCCCGGGTGGGAGGGAGGAGGGAGGACGGAGTGGGCGTGTGGGCCAGCCCTGCGCCTGGGTGGGCGGGAAGGACATGGGCGGAGGCAGTGCCAGACTCCAGTAAAAAGTGGGCACCATTGCGTGGTCCCACACGGGGTGCCCAGGACCCCGGAATGGGGGTGTACAGCAGCGCTGGGACCCGGCCTTTGTTCTTCGTGTGCAGGGCTCATCACGGGGCCTCCCCACCCCTCCGCAGCCCACTTCCCCTCCACAGGCCCAGCGCTGGCCCTGCCTGCGCAGTCCGGCCTGGAGTTTTCTTTCTCTCCCTTGCCCTGGCTTGAAGCCACCAGCCCGGCTAGGCCCGCGGAGCCGGCTCTGGGTCCTGGGGTCCTTCCTGGGGAACTCTTTTCTCAGTCTTCTGTCTTCTCTGCCGGGCTGTGGGCAGGGGAGCAGGCTCTGTGTCCCTCAGAAGCCAGGCCTGGAGAAGGGGGATGGCTCAGAGCGGTGGTCTCGGGGAGGGGAGGGCCAGTGCAGAGCCCCTGCCCCTCCCCAGGAGAGGTAACCTCCCCCCTCCACCCCCCCCACAGACACCGCATCTTGTCAACTTGAATGAGGACCCGCTGATGTCCGAGTGTCTCCTCTACTACATCAAGGACGGGGTCACCAGGTGGGGCCTGGTCGGGGCGCTGGGGCAGGCGGGGAGGGGCGGCCCCTTGAGGGCCTCTGCCCTAACACTGCCGCCCTCCGGCCCTCCTGCAGGGTGTTCCCGCAGAGCCCTGTGGGCCGCGTGGCTTTCCCGGTGGCTAGGCCACGTCCCGGGGCGTGGCCCCCACTTCCGCTTCCTCTGCTCCCTGCGGGGAACCCCACTTTCCCCACAGTGCACACCTGGGGTGTTTCTAGGAAGTCCCACCGGGCACCTCCGGGAGGCTGCGGGCTGGGCGGGCCCGCGTGCGGCTGCCTCCTCATGCCCCTTACCTGCCCGCAGGGTGGGCAGAGAGGACGCGGAGAGGCGGCAGGACATCGTTCTCAGCGGACACTTCATCAAGGAAGAGCACTGTATCTTCCGGAGCGACTCCCGGGGCGGCGGCGAAGGTAGCCCTGCTGCAGCCCCCTCCCACCCGCCCTGGCTGCCGCAGGCCCCTGCCGGCCTGCTGGGGGCCTGCCTGCCGGCCACCTGCCCAGCTTGTCCGTTCTCAGTGGGTTTCTGGACGGAACATGTGGTGCCAGGAAGGGTGTCGTATGGGGGCCAGGGCTGGTGTTCTTCTGGGGATGGCCTCTTTGAAGGCTGGGGAGCAGGCAGCGTGGGGAGGGGCGGGTGGGTGGGGAGCCAGGCTGGGGGGTGGGAGCTGTTCTGCCCCGCTCCTGGGTGGGGGAGGGGGGCAGCCATCTACGCATTTCCCCGCCCTTTCACAGGCCTCTCTGGAGGATGGCATTTTACGTTTCAGCTGGGGCTTGCGTGTCCATGCGCCATTCGTGCCCACGGCCCCGGCACCGGCCCACGCCCAGTGTGGCCTCTGCTGCAGATCTGTGACTGGAGCCTGTGGCTGCATGCGTGGCTGGCCCTGGAGGCTGCCCCGTGCGTGGCTGGGAGGGGAGGGGCACCCCCAGGATTCTAAGCTACAAGGACGCCACAGCCCTTGGGGACACAGTTGTGACACTGTCACATAGTCAGCCGGGAGACCCGGGCCTGGCAGTCAGGCCTGACTGGGGTCCGCAGGCGTCCCTCCTGAGGGTGGTTTTCCTCCTCCATGGTGTGGAGATGCCATGAGGCTCCTTGGGCCCAGTGCATGGCGCCCTGGCCAGGTTGTGTGAACAGGGATGAGGAGCCGGGGGACACACACCAGGGCCAGGCAAGAGGAGCCATCAGAGTGACAACCCCCCCACTTCTCTCTGTCTGTAGCTGTGGTGACCCTGGAGCCCTGTGAGGGGGCAGACACGTATGTCAACGGCAAGAAGGTCACAGAGCCCAGCATCCTTCGATCAGGTATGGCTGGGCTAGACGGGGGTTTAGATGAGGTTGGGCTGGGGTGTGAGGTGAAGTCCTGTCTACCTGTGGTGTGCTTCTTGGGCAAAGCTGGGTTCCCATAGGTGGCAGGGCTGTGGCCCTGACCAGCCCACGGGGCTCCCTCACTCTTGGGCACCCAAGGGCCCCGCTGTCAGGAACCAAGATGGCAGGATTGGCAGGAGCAGAGAAGGCCCACTCACAGACCACAGACCCTGCCTGGGGAAGCCAGGCCAGCCCTGCCCGGAGGCGGCTCCTGTTTGGAGAAGGGATGACCACTGCGGTGCTGGGCTCAGGGGAGAGGCCTGGGGACCAGTCCCTGGACTAATAAGACATCGAGTTGGGGGAGGGGGACGGGGTATCTCGGCACCCGAGGGCCAGCACCTGGGCTTGGTTGGCTTCGTTCCCAGGTGCCACAGTGCTCCTAGAACCATCCACCCACAGCACACAGCGCTCCAGTCCCTCCCTTGGGAAGTCAGACAGGATGTGTCAGGCGGACTGGCAGAGAACAGAGTTGTGGGGGCACCGACACACACAGCTGTGGGCAGAGCTACAAGTTGATGAACATGTGTGTGCGTGTGTGTGTGTGTGTGAGATATGAGCATTATACACATACCTGATGTGTATTGACAAGTGTGCACACACGCACGCTCGTGTTTGTGTGTGAGATTGCAAGGAGCAGGCCTATGCGTGTGGTGGTCACTTTTGTCACTGTGACAATGTCCGAGGTAAGCAGTGTAGAGGAAGACTTGGGGCTCGTGGGGTCGGAGGTCTCGGTGCATGGCCAGCTGGTTCCGTTGCCTTTGGTTCTGTGGTGAGGCAGAGCTCACAGTGGCCAGAAAAAGAGGAAAAAGCACAGGAAGGGATCTGTGGACAAAGTCTATCCTTTGGGATGAGCCCCTGGCTCCCAGCCTCCTCCACAGAGGCCGCTCCTGGGCACATCCCCTGACAGAGCGGGCCTTGTGACCCCAGCGCCCCGTGACAGTCCATAGCCCAGGACCACGCCTTTGTCACATGACGCGTTTTAGGGGACGCTTCATGTCCAAACCAGAACATTCCACCTCTGTCTCCACATAGCTTTCATAACGCAGTGTGTTCTGTCCCTCACCAAGAATTCTCACAATCTTAAAAGTGTTACTTGAAAATTCCACGTCTCCTCCGTGACTCCAGGCGAGCTGTGCGGTGAGCTCGTGTGAAATCAGGGTGCTGGGACGGGGTGTGTGCATCCTCATCCCAAAGAGGTAGGGACGAAGAGCAGCGCGGATGGGACCAAAGCAAGGGCGGAAGCCAGCAGCGCAGACCCTAGACCCCCTAGCTCTGTGTGCATGGCACACACCCTGCGTGTGAGGTTGACACCAGCGTTCTAGACCCCAGGCTCCGGGAGTCGCACGCGGCCAGCCACTGGGGGGAGGCCTGGAAAGGAGGCACGGCGCGTTTGCCTGTCAGTGCCAGGCCCAGGGGAAGGCAGCAGAGGCTGGTGGAGCCAGGGCAGGGGGTACCGCGGAGTCTGCAGACAGGATTGTGTGAGGCCACAGGCACGAGCCCCGAGCGGTGGCCAACTCTGAGGGTCCTGCGCAGGGTAGGCCCTGAGGGGGGGCTGAGGCCGGCCTCCAGGCTGCGTCCCTGCACTGGCTGCCTGCGCTGCCCAGCCTCTGCCTGCCTGGGGAAAGGGGGAGGTGGGGGGCTGCTGAGGTGAGTGTGTGGAGCCCCCGATGCGTGGGTCGTCCACGTCCTGCAGAGCCGGCAGTGGCCAGGGCTGGGTGGCGGCTGGGGTTCCTGCAGCTGGCCTTCCCTTGGGGGATGCCAAGGGCAGGCGGAGGAGGCACCTCCCCCATTTCCGCTTCTCCACCCCTTGGACCGTGTGAGGCGCCTTGCGGGTTCCCAAGCCCAGCCTGGCCTCTGTCCTCAGGGAACCGCATCATCATGGGCAAGAGCCACGTGTTCCGGTTCAACCACCCTGAGCAAGCCCGCCAGGAGCGCGAGCGGACGCCCTGTGCGGAGACGCCCGCGGAGCCCGTGGACTGGGCCTTCGCCCAGCGGGAGCTGCTGGAGAAGCAGGGCATCGACATGAAGCAGGAGATGGAGCAGAGGTGAGGCCCGGCCCGCTGCCGGCAGGGGCAGCCACCGGCCTGGCGCTCACGCCTGCCGCCCTCTCGCAGGCTGCAGGAGCTGGAGGACCAGTACCGCCGGGAGCGTGAGGAAGCCACCTACCTGCTGGAGCAGCAGAGGCTGGTGAGGATGCTGTCCCCAGCTTGTCCCCCGCCACCATGCCCAGCGGCCCCATGGGAGAGGCCACTCCCCCCCCGGCTGCTCCCCATGCTCCAGCAGACTGTGGAGTCACACGCTGGGCCTCTCTCTGCAGGACTATGAGAGCAAGCTGGAGGCCCTGCAGAAGCAAATGGACTCCAGGTACTACCCAGAGGTGAACGAGGAGGAGGAGGAGCCCGAGGATGAAGGTGAGGGCTCTCAGGCGGCGGCTGCTTCCATCAGGAGGGCCGGGGGACGGAGGGGCAGGGCAGGGCCAAGGCCCTGGAGAAGCGGCGGCTGGCCAGCACTGCCCGGGGGTCAAGCCTCCTCTGCCTGGGCGGCACCGCAGAGGCCGACGTGGGAGGCTGTGCACAGGCGGTGAGCACACACCTGAGCTGCCCCCTGTGCTCCCCGGGGGGAGCCAGCCGCAGGGGCATTTCACCCCAAACCCTCCTCCTCTGGAGGACTCAGTGGACAGAGGGCTGAGCTGGCTCCTCTTAGTCCCCCCTCCCCGCCCTCTCCAGACTGCCCTGACTCCATCCTGACCCTCAAGCCCGGTGAGGGGAGCTTGCGCCGCTTTGTCACTGGGCACGGGGCCTCTCCCGTCACTCGCGTGGCTGATCTGCTTCCTCTGAATGCAGAGCAGTTACTGGGAGCAGAGCTCCCTGGCGTAGAGCAGGGGGCTGTTCAGAGACCCATCGCCCAGGGAGGGCAAGGCCCGGGCCCGGCCCCGTCCCCGCCCCCGGCCAGCCTGGCAGAACTTAGCCTTTTCACTCAGCGGACGGCCCTGCCCACAGACTGCTCTGGCACGGGCTCGGCTCAGCACTCCCCACGCCGGGCAGACCAGTGGACCTTCCGGAGGCTGGGGTGTGGTGGGCCATGGGTGGCATTGCTTTGGTGGCCAGTGTGTCCTCTCCCACAGTCCACTGGACGGAGCGAGAGTGTGAGCTGGCGCTCTGGGCCTTCCGGAAGTGGAAGTGGTACCAGTTCACGTCCCTCCGGGACCAGCTGTGGGGCAATGCCATCTTCCTGAAGGAGGCCAATGCCATCAGTGTCGAGCTGAAGAAGAAGGTGGGCGCCCATCCCAGGTCACGCCTTTTCCCAGTGGGGACCATGCACACGCACTAGGGACAGCTGCCCGCAGCAGGGACTTGGCCCTGCCTGGCCTGGGCTCCGGCAGGGGCGGCTGCGTGGGGCACTGGGCAGTGGACCTGGGCCTCCTCTGCTAGGGGGAGATGGCAGGCGAGGTGCGGCCACTCCTAGTGGTGTCTGGAGGGTTCTGGGGAGCCACTGCCGGGCGCCTGAGAGCCTGGAGAGCTGAGCAGGCCTCTCAGGACCTGGCCCCGCTCACCGAGGGGCTGATGGGCATCATCATCTGCTGGCCGCAGGTCCAGTTCCAGTTTGTCCTCCTCACCGACACCCTGTACTCGCCGCTGCCGCCTGACCTGCTGCCCCCAGAGGCCGCCAAGGACCGAGAGACACGCCCCTTCCCCCGCACCATCGTGGCTGTGGAGGTCCAGGACCAGAAAAATGGGGCCACACACTACTGGACACTAGAGAAACTCAGGTGTGGACCGGGGTCGTGGGGCGGGCAGGGGGTGGGCAGGGGCTTGCTCCAGGATGGACCGGGCTGGGCCTCACAGCGATGGTGTGGACGTGCGTCTGTCAAGGTGAGAGGAAAAATGTGGCTAGAGCCCCAGTGCTTCCTCCAGCGCCCTGGTCGACAGGAAGAGTAAATGCTGGGGTTTTCCAGCGGTGGGGGCCCCGGGGGCACAGGTGCCCTGCATCCTGGGAGCCAGGACACCGCTGCCCAGCTTGAGGTCAGGGGCCTGGCACCACAGCCGAGCAGTGCCTCAGGGCCTGCAGGGTGGGCTCTGCCCCCAAACCAGGCAGCTGGGATGGGACACTCAGACTGTCTCCATCCTGGAGTCCCGGGAGGACCGAGAGCGGTGGAGGAACACCCCAGTTGCCCTCCTCTGCTCGGGCAACGTGGGAGCACCACACACTCCAGCGTGTGACGGGCCTTCAGGGAGGGCGGTGACTGAGCGGAGAGGGTGGAGGGATGGACGGGACGCACAGCAGGCCTGCGGCCACGGCGGGGGCCGAGGGCTAGCGCGTCCTCGGGCAGCTGAGGGCGGAGGCTCCCGGCCGTGATGCTGTCCACGCTCCCAGGCTTCCCACCACCCTCCCCCGTCTGCCCCGTCTCTCACGGTCCCCAGGCGGAGCCTCAGGCAAGGGCTGTCCTGAGTTCCCCGGGCCTTGCACAGTTGACTGAAGGTGGGCGACGTTAGACAGTGCGTGGGACATTAGGAGGGGAGAGCGCGGGTGGACTCGGGTAGGGTGGCCTGTCCAGGGGAGGCAGACTCCCTGACACGGTGTCGGCTGTCTCCCTTGAGGGGGGCTCTCTCCCCGCGAGAAAGGCCCCCACAAAGAGGAAAACGCAATCAGGAGATGCACACTTGCTCATACAGCTCACACACACCCGTGTGTGCACATGCTTGGGCTAGCACACACACAGGCCCACGCCACACACCCCTCTCCCCCGTCTCCCAGGCGGGCTTCGGAAAGAAGCCATGCTCCCCCTGAGCCTGGGAGGGCCAGCCTCGCGTTCCTTCCTGCCACATCTTACCAGGGATGATCGTTTAAAAAGCAGGTCCAGCTTCAAGGCCCCACGCCCGCCTCCCTCCCGTCACTCTGTGCCTTGAGCCTGCTCCCAGGCTTCAGCTGGGCTCTCTCCATCAGCCCATGCACCCCGCTTTCAGGCTTGGGTTCTCTTCACCTGTCCGCCCCTCGGGGGCCGACAGCTGCCCATGGTCCTCTGTCCCTGCCGTTTCCTCCCTCCTGCCCCTCTCTGCGATCCTATCGCTGTCATCTGCTGGGTCCGGGAGGGATTGTGGTTCAGAGGTAGGTCTCGCGGCTGACAGGCCAAGGAAAGGTCTCCGTAGTGAGGAGCCCGAGCCGGTGATGCTAGGGTGCCGTGGACCGCACCGAGCTGCTGCACCAGGACAGGAGGCGAGGCCCCGCTGAGCCCCGCCCGGTCACCGTGTCCGCAGGCAGCGCCTGGACCTGATGCGGGAGATGTACGACCGGGCCGCAGAGGTGCCCTCCAGCGTCGTGGAGGACTGCGACAACGTGGTGACCGGCGGAGACCCCTTCTACGACCGCTTCCCCTGGTTCCGGCTGGTGGGCAGGTGTGCCTCTCCCCTCCCCCACAGGGCAGTGGAAGGGTTGGGGGGTGGGGCACGGGGGGCGGGGGGCAGGCCTCCTCCTGGGACCCAGACTCACCGCTGCCCCAACTCTGGCCTGAGAAAGGGGCCCCATCCTGTCTTTGTCCTCACTCCACCCAAGCTGCCCGCACACTGCTCCCCACGCACCGGGGCCATCATTCCAGGGGCCCAGACGCTGCCACCCACATCTCTGGGGCCACATGTGTGAGTGTGTGACAGCATACAGCTGCCAGGGCCACTGGTGGCCTTCGGTGGAGACGTGGGGCAGGACTATGTCACCCAGGCTGCAGGGTGCGGTCCTCCCGCATGGACTCCGGCCCGCGGTCTACACCCAGGCCCTCTCTACCGTGACAGTCTGAGGCCTCCACGTGGCCACCCGGCAAGCCTTGGGTGGCTGATGGGCGCTCACGCCCGTCGGAGCCTCCCAGCCGGCCACGTCTGTGGCGTGGCCCTGGGAACGGCACTGGGGCTTCTCACGTTTCAAAGCCGCATTCTCAGAGGCGTGAGAGCGTGGCTTTACACAGAAGCTCCTGCCGCGCCGTCCTCGAGCCGCTGTGTTAACTTCTCTCTGTCTTGTCGCACTCACCCCAGCTCAGTCATCTCTGGCTGCAAAGGCTACCCTCTTCTCAACACATGCATGAGCCAGCGCATGGCTACTCTCACCCCCTCCCCCACCTTCTCGAGCCCCGACTCCGACACCACCACCGAGCCTGCCGAGGAGCAGAGCGTGGGGGAGGAGGAGGAGGAGGAGGAGGAGGAGGAGGACCTGGAGGACGACGTCTTTCGGGAGCACGCGCAGTGCGACGGCCGGGACCCGTTTTACGACCGGCCCCCCCTGTTCAGTTTTGTGGGAAGGTTGGTGAGGTTGAGGCATGCTGGGGAGGAGCCAGCTCTTTGCGCAGGAGCACTGCTGTGGCACGATCCGGTGTCAGGGCCACCCGGACCCTCCAGGACAGGCAGGCTAGGGACTGGCCTCAAGGAGCCCGAGGGAGCTGGGCTGCCCTCACGGTGGGGCCTGTGCCGCCCTGCAGAGGGTTCCTCCCCCAGCCGGGAGGTCTGCATCCAGCTGCACAATGAGCAAGGGCAGCAGAGCGCAGCCCTGCAGAGAGGATGTGACCGTGGCTCAGTTGCTCCCGATGAGGGCCTAGCGGGCGTGTGAGGGGTGAGCCAGGGTGCCCGGCCTTCGTCCTGGGGGTGAGCGTCGTCCCCGCGAGGTGGAACCTGCCCCTCTGCTGTAGTCTGTGGAGAAGCAGGCAGCGAGTGTGTGCTGTGCACTGCACTCAGGGAAAAGGAGCAGGACTTCCCGAGGCTTTGGGGGCAGGGGAGGCTGCGTCTCCCATACCCATCCGGTTCAGGGGCCTGGCAAGCCCTCCTTCCATCCGAAGGAGGGCTTCGTCTCTCTAGCCTCCCCCATCTCTGGCGAAAAATGGGGCATGTGGCCCCACGCTGTCAGACATGCCTTGCGGAGAAGAGCCGGCCGCTGGGTCTCCTGGGTCAGGAGGTGGAAGGAGGGGCAGGAAGAAGTAGCCACCGAACTGTAGAAACGGAACGGGGCGTAGGAGCATCTCCCTCCAGAAACAGCAGCAGCTACAAAGTCTTCCTGTGTGGAAAGGCGGAAGGCAGTTTCACAGCTGCCGTTCTTAGTTTTGAGATTGCACTCTCGGGCTAGGAAGTTTCCCCGAGTCTTGGCCTTGGGTTCCAGTACTGGAATCTGAAGGCTGGGATGGACCCCTGCAGATGAAGAGGTTTCCGGGGCCCGCCCTTCCTTGGGAGTGGAAGTGATAGCATGAGATTCCCCCTCCCCCAAGCTGGGAAGGCAGCCCGCTCCGTGGCCTGCCGCGGACTTGCTCTGACTAGTTTTCCCCGACTGTCTCCAGCTGGCATTAGGAGTGTTGGGTTGGCCAGGGGACACAGGTGGGCAGCGTCCCCCTGAACACGTCCCGCTCTGCGGGCCCAGGCCGGCTCCACAGGCCTCCCGCGCCTGCCAGGCCCTGGGAGTGGCTCCGGGTGCCAGGTAGGCGGGGGTGAGGACAGGCAGGGAGAGGAGAGTGGGAGAAACGGGGTGTGGGCTCTGCAGTCTCACAGAAAGAGCTGGGTCCTTCCAACGTTGTTCCCCCCTTGTGGATTGGAGATTTCACGAAAGTACCAAGCAGATCAAATGCCACCTGCGCGCGGCCCGGCCCCCTGCCGTGGGGTGGTCTGTAAAGGGGCTGCGTGCGGCGGTACCCTGACCTTTTGGTTTGGCAAGAATTGGCTTTTCCCGCACAGCAGCTGCGCAGGCCAGCCCGGGGGAGACCCCGCTGCCGATTTTCCTTTCATCCTCTCGGAACCTGCTGGCTCTCTCAAAGCTTAAGCAGAAGTAGGGTGCCACTGTGGTCCCCTGGGGAAGGGCTTCCCGTCCAGCATGTGTCTCTGCGCCTCACCAATCTGTGGTTAGCACGCCTCCTCCCTCCCGCCCCACCAGCCTCACCGCGCTCCCCCCCCCAACCCTCCCCTCTCCTCCCCGGCCATTTCAGTCTGCTTCAAGGTGCTCTGGACTTCGGGCCAGAGCCAAGGGCACCTCCCCTCCTCCAGGGTCAGGCCGTCCAGGGCCTCTGCTGGTGGCACTCGGGTGCCTGTGGCCTGGGGTGGTGGAGGGTGTGGCGTCTGTGGCCCAGACTGAGGGAGTGAGCCGGGGTCTCTGGGAAAGGTGCTTCCAAAAGGGAGACGGGGGGGCAAGAGGGGTGGGTGGGCGTGACATTGCAGAGAGGAGGGGGAGAGGGGTGCCGGGTGAGGGTCCCAGGAGGGAGCCAGCCGGGGGAGGGGACGTGTCACCAGGAGCAGCGTCCAGCACAGGTGGATGTATGCAGCCGGCAGGAGGTGGAGCATGGGTCAGCCCGTGAGGCCCTGGGTGCCCTCAGCCCTTGCCAGTGCCTCATGTCTAGGCTGCCCACCTGTCTTTGTCCAGGGCCTGTGGCAGGTGTTTCTTCCATCTGAGTGGGTGTGGTGTGGCTGGGATTGTGTCACGGCACCTCCGGGGCCGGGCACTGGTGTCAGGTGACACGGGCAGAAGCGCAAGGCTGCAGACGTAGCCCTTAGCCCCATACTCCTGGCTGTGCTGGTGTGTCCTCTGGCAGAGGGAGCTCAGGCCTGCCTTGCAGCCCCCCTGAAGCTGCTGCTGCTGCTGCTGGGCGGGGAGGTTCTGGACCCTTCTGGCTCCGTGAATCTGTTGCTGTTGCCAAGTGGACTGAGGCTGGGTTGTGGGGAAGATGGAGGGACCTTTGCTTTGCCTTCTCCGACACTTAATGCCAGAGCTTCAGCTCCCACCTAGTGAGGGAGCCAGGTCAGAAGGCGCACCTGCCCAGAGCTGCGGTGTAGAGATGCGGAGGCTTTGGACGCAGATCCCAGGGGTCTTTTCCACTGTCCAGCCCGTGGGGCCCTCGGGAACAGCCTGCGGTGTGGATGTGGGTCCTGGCGTCCTGCAGTGCTCTGACAGGGAAGTTCTCAAAGGCCAAGACAGAATGACCTCCCGGGGAGGCGTCAGGCAGGGGGGCGCGGTGAAGCTGGCCGAGGGCCTGCCGCAGGCCACGGATCCCCTCTGGCCTTGCTGCCAGCCCTGGCTACCTTCTGCTCTTTTTGTGCCTCAGTGCCTCCGACTGCATACAGCGTCTCATCAGTTCTTACCCACCATCTTAGACCCTGGATCTGTTTCAGTACCCCTAAGAGAGAAGGGGACAGTTAGCTGAACTGAGACATACTGCAGATGTCACGTCTGATGACCTATCTCCAGGTGCTGGGGATCCCAGTGTGCCCCCATATCTCCTCGCCATGAAGCTAAACATTTCTCTGTATTTCTCAGTCTCTTTTGTGTGTATGTGCATGCATGTGTGTGTGCACACGTGTGTGCGTGCGTGTGTACACACGTGCTTGAACTCAGGTCCTCGCTCCCTTAGCACTTTTTTTCAAGGCTCTACCACTTGAGCCATATCTCTGCTTCCAGTTTGTTGGTAGATGAGAGTTTTGCACACTTTTCTGCCTGGGTTGGCTCTGACCCTCAGTCCTGGGATCTCGGCCTCCCGAGTGGTTCAGACTGCAGGTGTGAGCCCTGGAGCCTGGCTGGGTCCATCCTGTTCACAGCAGGTTGCTCCAAGGCTTAGGACCCGAGGACCCTGGGCCAGTCTGATCTGCAGGAACATGAGTTGGGGGATCTGCTCGGGGTGGAGCGGAAGGGGGTGTGGTGGGGGGGTGGCTGGCAATGAAAGGGAGGGG